TACAGCGCAGCCATTCCCCTGTACCTCACCACGTGACTCCCATGAATACTTTTTTAATGTCTATTTGCAAAAATATTTTGAATTGTATAATTTTCTTTAGGCTTGCCAATAGTAAACCACTTTATGTTTCACACTAAAGTCCAGTGAAATATTTTGAGGTTTGTGATTGTGATGTGACAAAGTGTGGAAAAGTCCCTGGGGTATGAATACTTTTGCTACTGTGTAAAGATGTTTATTTAAGGGCGTTTTAGTCAGAAATCGACAGTAACTTAGAATATTGTTTATCATAAGACTGGCTTCAATTTTTAGCCATAGCTCTTCTTCTGGTGCAACACGACCATCAAACATTAGCAGGTTCCACAGCTGATTGATGCTGTACCCTCTTGTGGCAAGACAAGGTATTGCAATATCTCTTCTCTGAAGATTGAGCTTCTAAAAAATGTTTACCTTTCATGACTTCTTTAATTTGGTGCAGAGAAATAATAATAAACAAACTGACCATCACATAAATCCATGATTTATTAATAAAATGTGAACAGACATGATGAACAAACAGGTTTTCACACTGAACAAAGACAAACGTAAAACTTCTCCAAAACTAACCAGTATAAGTTAGTGAAAATTTTAGTCCCATCCCAGTTGGTCACTGCTGGTGTCCTTTATGTATTTCAGATTTAAAGTTTTAATGTAAAATGTTCTAAATTTAGTTGCATCATTTCCTGTTTCCTCCATCACTGTTCACCTGAGATTTCTCTGGCTACTTCCTACTTCCTGTCAGATACTGACTATGTTCATGTTCTCCAACAAACCGTCGCGCGTCCGTTAGCAGACTGGCTCCAGTACTCCCAGTGCTTCAGACCAGTGGCCCCAACCGACACCTGGAGGACACCTGATTCAGACAACACTCCGTTGTTCTGTAACTTCCTGTTTCCTGTTTTGCTGCAGAAACTTAAATGTTTTTTTACTCTGAAAAAAAAAAAAAAGCAGAAACAGAAAAACCTCCAGAACTCGAGGAAGACCCTCTGGTTCTAGTTCTGGTTCTGGTTCTGGTTCTGGTTCCGTCTGAACACTGACACCAGGTCTGTGACACTGCTGGAGGGGCGGGGCTTCTCCTCTTCCTCACGCCTCTTTGTCCTCTTCGTCACCTGGTTACTGCTGAGACTTTTGGATCGGAGGCTCGGGTACTTCCTGTCTTCATCCACCAGCAGCTCCTCTTCATCAGCGTCGGGTTCAGGAGCCGGAGGCCTGGCTCCCTCCTCTTCATCAGCGCCCTTCATCGTGGAGGGACTTGGGCTGTGGAGCGCCCCCTGTTGGGCATCTGGAGACAATAAATACTGCATAGCTTTGTCCAGGGGGACAGAGGACACGGCCTGCAGCCGGCTCTTTAGAGCCGGACCATCTGCGTCCCCCGGGCCGCCGTGATGAAGAGGAGAGGCGGGTTGATGAAGAGGAGAGGCGGGTTGATGAAGAGGAGAAGCGGGGCCACACGGCGAGATCAAGATGTCCACGTTGGACAGAGACTGTGTCCTGTCCCTCAGACTGGAGACGTCCAGACTGGAAGCCAATTCGCCTGAAACCAGAAGGAGGCGTTCAGACCGAGTTCCTTGTTTATTCAGTGTCATTTAATACAGAAACTCAGAACCAGCGCCACCTTCTGGCCAAAACACAAACTGCTTTAGAAATCACATCCAGTCACAGATTTTAATAACTCAGTTTTAATCCACATTTAAATATAAAGGGGAGAAATTCAGTTTATGATGCTTGGTGGTCAAACATTAGCTGAGCCATACTAGCTTCCTCCTGAATATGCATGCGGCGACAGTGGAGAGCAAATTAAATCATCTGAAGCTGTAAGACAAGGATCCGAATCCTGGAACCCCATAAGGAACTCTGCAGATCGATTTAGCACTAAACGATATAAACTGGGATCTGGAACAAAATTCAGTAAAAACCAGCGAAGTGCCGGGAGGAACCAAGGGGAACCGGGAGGAACCAAGAGAACCTGGAGGAACCAAGGGGAACCGGGAGGAACCAAGAGAACCGGGAGGAACCAAGGGGAACCGGGAGGATCCAAGGGGAACCGGGAGGAACCAAAGGAAACCGGGAGGAACCAAGGGAACCGGGAGGAAGCAGGGGAAACCGGGAGGAACCAAGGGAAACCGGGAGGAACCAAGGGAAACCGGGAGGAACCAAGGGAACCGGGAGGAAGCAAGGGAAACCAGGAGGATCCAAAGGAACCGGGAGGAACCAAGGGAACCAGGAGGAAGCAAGGGAAACCGGGAGGAAGCAAGGGAAACCGGGAGGAACCAAGGGAAACCGGGAGGAACCAAGGGGAACCGGGAGGAACCAAGGGAACCGGGAGGAAGCAGGGGAAACCGGGAGGAACCAAGGGAAACCGGGAGGAACCAAGGGAAACGGGGAGGAGCCAAGGGAACCGGGAGGAAGCAGGGGAAACCGGGAGGAACCAAGGGAAACCGGGAGGAACCAAGGGAAACGGGGAGGAACCAAGGGAACCGGGAGGAAGCAAGGGAAACCGGGAGGAACCAAGAGAACCGGGAGGAACCAAGGGAAACCGGGAGGAACCAAGGGGAACCGGGAGGAACCAAGGGAACCGGGAGGAAGCAAGGGAAACC